GTACTCTAGCTCAGAGTTACGCAGTCTACCCTTACATCTTATGATACCTCCTTCTTCCATCAAGCCTAGACTGTTACTAATCTGGGCGTACTTTTTAGCCTCCTTTAACTCTGCCTGAGCCTGTTTAATCCATCTATTTTCCGCCTCGTCAAGCTCCTCTACTGTCAATTCTCCACAGCGCTTTTCCATGCCCTTAGACTTTGCTCGTGCATTGAACCCAAACCTAAGTACCCATGCTGTTACTCTGAAAAGTCGTTCCGCTGTCCCATAATCCTCCAGATTTATCACTTTGCTTATACTAGCTAACTCTTTACTACTAGCTACGACCATTACGGAAGACTTTCGTTCTTCTTCTAAGACCGTACTTGTTTTGGCAGCAGCCTCAAATTTCGGCCACTCCTCCTTAGACCTAATAAGCCAATCAGGCCCCACCCACCATAGCTTGTTATCCTTCAATTGTGAAGCAACTACACCCCTAGACCCTATATCGCGGGATTTTCCACCCCAGGACAATGTCCCCAATCCTCCTTGTTTGTTAATTTCAGGATTTCATTTACTCTGTGGCGGACGAATTGTTTCCACTCACCGTTGTTCATTATCCAGTAGAGTGCTGTCATGCTATCAAGCCACAACTTCGTATTATCTATACTAACCTGGTTTTCTAATGAATCTTTCACTGACTTTAGTAACTGCGCTAAGAGCCTCGCAGACATTAACTCTAACCTTGGAATGCTAGTTGTTTTAAGAGGTGCTACTCTTACCTTTGATGTTAACATGCGGACATAACTTCCTACATTTGTATAATAAACAACATATACTACCGCACAATATGCTTTCTTACTAGCGTCGCCAAACCCATGTAATGTGCACCCTAAAACCTCTTCCGCTGGATGTTGGTATATGCATCGAGGAATAGTGATTTCCTTGGTCTCAATCAAATCCCTATACCAGATTTCCCACTTTCTTAAAGGCTCTTCCTTAAAGCTGTCGTCCCAACCCGTCTTACTATTACAAACCTCCTGGAATAAGATCTTGGCACTAACTATCAATGGACTTATTATCCCTAGAGGATCGAACAAACTGGCTAAAATGCTCAGGAGGTTCCGCTTTGTTGGCGATAACGTCTCTGCCTTTTCTCCCACCTTGGAAATTTCAAATTTCAGTTCGTCCTTGTGGTTATCCCACACCTGCCCTAAAACCTTATGGCCCTTTGACTCACCCCCTACTGCTCCCAAAGATAACCTAGCATATGTTTCCTGATCATTGATGCTTTGTTCTGACGAACCCTGATCTTTTTCGTGAATCTCTAGTTTACTCCTTAACACCTCACTGTTGGTCAACCACTTCCTTAATCTAAAACCCCCTTGTGCCATTCTTGTCTTAGCCTTATCATAAAGTTCAAAGGTCTTCTCTACCGTACTCTCACCACTGACCAGGTCGTCAACGTAAAAACTTTCCTGCAACTTTCTTACAAATGCAGCATCTATTTCGTTATACTTTGTTAAATGATGCCTTAAGGTTGCATTCAGTAGAAATGGTGATGCATTCACTCCAAAAACTACTCTACAAAACCTAAACAACTCTCCAACTTATCACTTTCTATATCATTGACCCACAAAAATCTCAAACAATCTCTATCCGCCTTATCTACTTCAACATTCAAAAATGCCTTTTCTATGTCACCAACTAAAGCAATCCTATTTTCTCTGAACCGTATTAATATGCTGTATAATAATGGATTGAGAGAAGGCCCAACATGTAGGCAGTCGTTAAGCGATGTCCCAGACTTACCTTCCTTGGATGATGCGTCATAGACGATCCGGAGTTTAGTGGTCACTGCCTCCCTGCGAATAACTGCCTGGTGTGGTAAATAATGAACCCTTTCAACCTTCTCTAATGCAGATACTGGCTCCACTATCCCTCGCTCTACCTGGTCTCTGATGATAGAATCATACTCTGCTAACAATGCTGGCTCTTTCCTCAGTCGTCGCAGCTGACCCTTCATTCTACTTAAGCTATTTGCATAGTTGTCAGGCAACTTCTTATGGCTCTCCTTCCAGGGCAGTTTGACTGAATATCTACTTCCTGTAAATGATATTTCATCTAAAAACTCTTCATGTACCTTATCTTCCTCACTAATGCCTAACCCTTCAAAACTCCATAATTTTTGCACATTACTCTCCAAACTGTCTTCACTACTCAATCTCTGTGCTACAAAATTCACTTGGACTGGCTCCGCTCTCTCAATGTCTTGTACTCTCAGCGGTCCTGATAAAACCCACCCTAATTCTGTTTCTATAGCAACAGGTTCTCCTGATTTACCTCTCTTGGTTGTCCCTGTCTGAAAGCTCCAAAGGTAGTCTGCCCCTATCAGAACATCTACTTCTAACTCATCTTCTGACTTAGAAACATCTGAAAACCATATACCTTCCAGATGTTTATACTCCCTCCGCGCTATCTCTACATGGCTATTTCCTATGCTACATATTTCCGGCACTACAAATGCTTCCAGTGTGATAACCTTATTTCCGTTAAGAGGTTCAAGCTTTAATTCAACCACTTCCCTGTGCTCAGCTTTTACGCACTTTTGACCGAACGTATTAATTCCTAACAATTCCCTTCTTATACCCCTGGGATTCGCGAGACCAGCTGCTTTGGAAGTAACAAAGGAACGATGACTTCCCGCGTCAAAGAGGACCTGCACCTTAACCACCCTTTCCCCCCTTAAAACGCCACGTGCTGTCTGCAAGGCAACCAGGCTACCAGTTCCAGCATGCAAGTTACTATTAGGAGTAGTCACATGCACATTCGTGTTATTGGGTACGTTTTTACATTCGTCATTAGGCTTGGGTATTTCGTCATGCTTACCCTCGCTCTTAGGACTCATTTCGCACAGTGCAACATGATGAGCCCCATCACAAACACTACATTTGTTCTCGACCTTACAACTACTGGCTCTATGACCCTTAAACAAACAAACAGAACATCTACCGTATTGCGAGCCAAACTCTTTCGTGTCTTCGGATCCTTTACTCCCTCACAGTTCTCGTGTTTGTGGATCTTTTCCATGTTGTTGACCATATTTTCTACCCGACGCCGAACTCCCATCGTTTTTTCCGTACTCTCGACCCGACTTCGATCCCACCGCATCGTGCGCTTCACGTAGTTCAAGCTCTTTCTCAAAGGCTTGTAGCATTTCCTCCATTGACCACTCGAGGAAGTTCTGCCCTCTCGTAATAGTCAAGCGAAACTGCTCCGGCAGCTTCTCCATGATCGTCAGAACAACAATAGCGGAATACGAGTTCTCGTTCACCCCCAGGGCTCTCAAGGCGCGGTTATTCGTTTCGCAGCTGTCAAACAACTTCCGTAGTCTCTGCGTGTCCCTTTCTTTGTAAACTGCCGGCAGTTGTATGAGTTCATTCACGTGTGCTCGTTGAACTATGCTTTTCTTTTCGAACCGTTTCTTAAGCAATTCCAACGGAACAGTTGTAGTTTGTCCCTGTTAACGCTAAGCCGGCAATTGTAGACTTCGCTGGTCCTTCCAAATATCCGCGCAAATATGCAAACTTGTCAACGTCAGACAATGCGTCATTGTTGTCTGTTGAGCTTGAAAACCCGTCCCAAAACTCGGGCCACTCACATATTTTACGGTTGAAGTTCTTAAGCTTTAGTTTCGGAAGCTTTGCTCTGATGATCTTTCCCGTACTGGCTGTCGATATATGGCTCTGGTCTAGGTTTCCTTCGTCTGGCGTCGTCAACAATGGCAGTCTTTGTTCACCGGATTCCCGCAGCTCGTCGTCGATTTTCATCAATGTTCTTTCAAATTCTGCGACCGCTTCGTCTGAACTTTCGACCTCTTTATTGAGCTGTGCTTCGGCGTCTTCATCTCCCAAGGCGCTTAGTATGTCAATGACCTGTTCATTGAGTTCCTTTAACCTCTTGACTTTCTCTCGTAACGTGACCTGGCTTTGTCTCAGCCATGTTAAATCCCTTTCTGCTTTCTCGTCAATCGCTCTTGGAATTGTTTCAACTATCTTTGCTACAAGTTTACTAGCCGAAGCTTGATGAGCTCCTCTCACCCGTCTTTTCCTCGTCAGATCGTCCATACCTTTCGTTGTTCCACTTCACGCTAAATCTTTTACACACGACGGCAGCGCAAATATCACTCGCTCTTTGTCCGCAGCCTCGTTCACCTTTCACAAATCCGGCTCGAAGGACCACTGTTTTGCAGAATCCCCAATCGATCCCGCGCACACTGGTCCACGTAAAAAAACACTCAGGGGACTGTATTCTATCATTTATTTTAAGATTCTATTTACAGCATGAGTTCATGCTTCCTCTACGATCCGACTCAATAATGGAATCAAAATTCAATGCAAGCATTAATTAATAGTGCTATATTACATTACAACGTGTCTTTGTGTTGAATCAACAATGTGTCCTTGTGACGTATTTACAAACAACTAAACTATATTTACATAAAGTGCTAATGTAACTGCTGCATGCGGAACTGGCGGCGTTGCGCGGGGACCTACAACAAGGGTGAACAATGAAGAGCTGACAGTGCTATGGATACTAATCCCATTAAAGAGTACCACAAAGTCTGTTGCATGTGTGGAAGTTGAAAGTGTTGAAGAAGAAAACAACAGTTACACTGGAGAACACACACTGCCCTTCAAAGTCATGGGAACATGTTATTGGACCAGTAGGCAAGATGCACTTGAAGAGGCATATGAATACCTTCAGGAGTACAATCGACCCATCTTTGCCAAACTTGTGGAGGAACCAGAAAATGTAAATGACAATAATGCAATTGCTGTATATGTGATGGCTTCAGATGAAAGTGGGATATATAGCAAGAGAATTTACTACCTATCTAAAGCCCATTATGCAATCTCTGAGTATTCAAGTAAAACACATCCGCTTCAGCACAACATTTAGTACAATGGGTTATTACCTTACTATAGAAATAACAAAGAAGGGAAGGTGGCACAAAGATGTCATTGCTGCAAGCAAGAAAGTTAAGTGATGTTAGGTTGAAAATTTTTATATTTTATATTACACTATCAAACAGGGTACATGTAACTCCTTGTTAAGGGCACAATTCAGCCTTTTGAATGATGGTTTTTAAGGGACATTACAACCCTTTTACTGTCGTTGTAATGGAAGTGTTTATAAAATATTGCATCAATTCATTGTCTAAAGTTTATCAATTCATTTGCACAATTTTGTTGAAAAATTTATCAACTTCCTGTCTGTGTGAATTAGCCAATATATGGTGTCTCATTTCAGTGACCGATTGACCAATTGGGAACAAGTATGCTAGTAACCATGAAAAAGTACATTGTACAGTATATGAAAAAGTACATTGTGATTAAGTTTTGTAATGGTACTAGTTGAAAAAAGTTTGTGACGGTGGTAGTTCAACCGGAGCTTTATGAAATTTCGCTCTCACTGACCCCGCTGTGAAAGGGAAGCACGATTGGCTACAAAAACGCCCGGGTCCCCCCTACGGGAAAACTTTACTTTGTCCAACCTTTCAACAATTCCTGGACCAGTGGGCTGGTTAAACGACGGCAGCTCAAAATCTCTATAACGATCTTTTACGCCTGTCCAATAATAGAACGCTAGCTTTGGATCTATTCTTTTCTTGAACTCATTCAAGATCTTTGTCGATTCGCTGTAAAACTGCTTGAGGTCAAACGCCAGACCAAGTACTTTGTGCAAAAGTGCCACAAAGCCTTCTACATCATCACTTGAAGATGCTCTTGGATGCTCCGGACGCAACCCTCTTTTGATGTACTCTATTCTCCGCAGTTCCCGACTTTCGAGGTTAGCTGTAAGGCCAACAATCAGCTCACGTGTGAGACCACAGATACCTTTGATTGGTCTATAAAAGAAAACTTCATCTGTTTATGTTAAATATAAAGGTTAAGGAACGTTCGCTTTTGCTTTACAATATTTACCTAGATCTGTCTAGGTTTGCAGCTACGAAATATTACATTGACAGATTTTGTTTAGGACCTACATGTACTTAATCAACGTTTGACTAAGTAAAATAGTTAAAACGAACGAAAACCTAGTTATAAAAGCTGTAATTGACTATATACCGGTTAACATCCAGAAACGAATAATCATTGTCAGCATTGTGCCATGGCATCCAATCGTCCAGAATCCAGTCTTTCATTTCTTTAAGATAGCTGAAACGAACTTCTTCACTAATTCCTCTTCCATCTGCAGCCAAATGCCAGTGTCGAAATATCTCCAACACTCTTGCTTCATTACTGTACCCGCGCGTATTTAAAAACTGAATAACACCTTGGGAAATCATGCGCTCACAATCGGGAACGGACTGTTTATTTTTTCCGGTGAGAGCCTCGTAAGTTAAACCGGTCGAGGGATCACACAGAGCTTCTCTTAAACAACGCAAGTCGAAATTTGGAATGTAGCCTTCTCGGACGCGTGAGATCACTCGTTTCAATAAATGGTTGTGGTCTTCGCGATGATGGACATACTCGTTGGTGCGGACATCCTTCTCAGGCTGGTACATAAAATTGTAGAAATCCGCGGGACTGTCCAGATTGTTCTTTAACTCTTGGAAACTGGAACGGTAGAGGTAAATTTCCATCAGCGACTTCAAAACTTCGCCAATTGTTTCTTGTCTTCCTGTTTTACAGAATAGAACAGTAAATGAAATTAATAGCAATGACTAATACCAAATATTTCATCATATTAAAATTATTCGAGAGACACAGATTCAGTATATTATCACGGTTAATTTTAACTTCATTCCAGTGCAGTTATCATGGACTTAATTTTAGTCCATATTGACAGTTAAATTTGGTTCAAAATGCAGTTCACCGAGGTCCAAGTTATATTGTCTCAGTGAAATTGACAATGTAGATATACTCAATGTACTGTCAAGCTTCTGGTGTCATATTAACTACAGTATACCTTTAACCCAAGGGTTTGGGTCGTGACAGAACGGAAACAACGTTCTTCTAAGTATCAGAAGCGCAGCATAGAATGCCATTGGTTTATCTCCAGATGACATCAATTCACACAATAGATTTACGTCTTGCACTGGCACTGAGGGATGTTGTTTGATAAGATTTCCTAAAACGACATGTAACGTTCACAGTGATAATATAAATTTCTAAGCCACGCTGGTAATGTGAAATTGTCCGTACGATTATAGAATTGCCGAAACTCAACCTAACCCCAAAAGATGAAAAATCCTGGGAACAAGGTTGTGTTCTGGCGTAATCTACAGTTTGTTAAGGTAAATATATATATTTCCAAAAAAATATTACAAGTTACTAGTGAAATGGAACACATATAGTAAGTATGTACCATTTGGATCCAGTGTAAAGAACTTGGTAATAGCACCAACACTGAGGCTCGTAGCTTTCTTCTTAGCATTTTTGATGATTTCAATAACGGAAACAGGTCGGCTTTTCCCGTTTGTCCTGAGCGAGTTGAATTCACCATCTGTTGTAAAACCTTTGTTGCATAAGGAAATACAAATTAGGTAAGAACACTTACCTCACAAAGACAATAGACGTTTTGAGCGTTTCTAAACGCTTTTTTAAAATACAACGCCTATAAATATTAACGCTTTTAACATGTACGTTTTTAAACACAATTTATGTAAAAATGTTCGTGATAAATGGTACACTGTATGGAAATATGCAACCAGAGCACGAAGAAGCTGCACATAATTTTAAATACTGATACAGTATACTCTCAGAAAAAAACTCCCTATAAATATATATTAGAGAGATTAAGCTTCGCGTTCATACGTCAACGTCAGACAAAGAAAAATTTTACGCTATAAAGCAACAAAGAGTAAATGGACGTGTTGTTTTAAAACTGCAATGCGTAACTATTTTTGTGACATAAGAAAGAAAAATGAAACGAAGAAATTAAACAAAAATTCTGCTAAAAAAATTCGTCCTGCCGTTTGCCGTTGCCCGGAAATGCTGCCAATAAAAGCCATAAACTTAATCTCTCTATTGTATACTAAAATGTAAGTACCATTACATAAAACCCAATGCTTACCAACAGCTACCATGTTCACAGTAACCATAGCATCCTCGATTTGCAGTTCAAGCTCTCTCAGTTTGGCATCAGTTATGGAACTATAAGGCATAAACCTCACCGGAACAGCATAGGGCTTGGTGTTGCGCAGTTCATCTGAGATCATGAATATCATGAGATGGGTAGCAGCAATCCGTTTCTTACTGTACAACTCTTTGAAGTAACCAAGCAATTTATCACGCAATTTCATCATGGAGGTTTTCACAACTTGTTGTTGGTTACACACAAAGTTGGTGACTATAGACACAATCTCTTGGCTTAAATATTTGTTCTGCTTCAATTTTTTTTAGAATCGATTTCGCCTAAGAGACAATATATAACACCACACAGTACGTTTGCGGGAATGTAATAATTTCAGTCCGGATTAGAAATATTCTAGCTTATGTGCGTAGACCCAACATGATGAGTCTACGCCTATAGGCTAAAAATATGCGGACAAGGCAACAAGGCTGACTGGACATGTGAAATTTTCACTGGATTCATCAAGCACATAGTCTATTCCCAGAGCTGCTTCTGTGAGTGTTGCATAATGTTTTGCCAAATGCTTACTCACTCTTGAACGGCATGATCCACCTAGTAAGGCAATATACTTAAAATTACTTTCATAAACTCACATAAACTGAAAACATTGTCCCCAGCCTACTTGTCCAAATACACATACACTAATTATTACCAGGCCAGCCTACTTGTCTGGACATATACACATACAGTAATTATTACCACATCCCTCCCTTCCACCTCACACACACACACAATTACATGGAGAGATAAAGTAGTATTGCTAAGCAGGCTGACTTGCCAAACACCCCATGAAAATGCCCTTAGACAGAATAAAAGATAAGGTATAGCCATATAAAGTAGGGTAAGTCTTATCATATTATTGATATTAAAGCTGCAATGACAAAACGTTTGTTTATATATTAAAAACTAACACAAGCTCTCACCACTAACCAGTTCTCGTTGTTTTGCACATGTTCATTACAGCTTGTGCACAACCATCCCAAAAATGAGGGCTTTTCAACGTTGGCCACTTGTTTATATGGGCATCTTCCCAGAAAAGACATATATATTGGACAATAGCAGAATCTTCAGAAGTTGTCCATTTTGACCAAGATGACTTCTCTGAACTATTAACATTTACATCTTTACCAAATAAACATCTTTTACGACCAGCTCCTGATTCTGTTCGTGTGCGAACTTTTGCAGCTGGTTTTCCAGGAGTATTGCCTTCAGGAACACACGGTCTTTTTTGAGCTACTGATACATCTGCCTATAAAAATATAATAACTTTATGAAAGAAAATCACTACCAAAAGGTGGGGCGTGTTGGGGCGCGTTTAGTCTCAGCCTTTCATCACATATTCTATTAAATATACGGACGCAAGTGGAATGAAAAATACCTTTCATAAAATCAAATTAGCAAGAGCAAAAAATCATACAAATAGACTTGTGAAACATCAACATAGCATGCTATACGTGTGCACGATGGTTTATACTCACTTTTGAAACACTTAATTAAGACATGAGCAATAATGAACAATATGATGATTAAACTTTATTAAAACGTTAATCTTAAAAGATAAATACCAAAGAAACATACAATAATATACGTCCAAACTTACCATATTTTCGTTAAAATTCCGCCATTCCTCTCGAAGCAGGAAATACAACTTCCCATAATTCCCCGGAGCGTAGTGCGCACACCACCTGGTTCAAAGCTAAAATAAATAAACATGTCAAAGATTAGATTCTGATAAAACTGCATTACCAGGTGAAACATTAAAGGATGCCCTGCAATAAAACTTTGAGAATGTACTCTCTTGAGACCAATCTGCCATACCTAGAATCTCAGGAAGAGAAACTTCCTGCTTAAAAGCCTCAGAAGTAGAAGCACCTCTAATAGAATGAGCAGAAAAAAGATCTGTATCTACGCCTGACAATCATATTCAGAGAAACTGAAATGGGATTGACTTTCTGTTGGTCACACCAGCAAACCCATTTGTTCCAGGCTGAGGAATAAGAACTGGTAGTGTTTTGTCTCCATGCTGCCAGCAAAATGTTTCTAGTTTCCTCTGAAATATCTGCTGTTTGGAAGCATTGGCTGACAGTTTCCACCCAGCCAGTTGGAGGTTGGTTAACGGGTGTGATTGATTGTCTTTCAACAACAAATCTGTTGATATTGGAAGTAGCAAGAGAAAGTCTGTGAACAGGGGAAGAAATAAGCTATATGTGGTGGTCTTGGACAGTTCGAAGTACCCAACAGTCCTGCGTGATCCTTTACCACACCGGAATAAAATGTTCTAAACGTTCTGTCTTTGGGACGCACTGAATGACATTGGTTTGTAAAAAATCTAATAACATACTTGTTGGAAGATTGAATGAACGCCGATTCTTCACTGCCGTGGCTGGAAGAAATGAGGGTTCTGCTTTGCCCTCGACTGTGGATTCCACTGCCCCTGAACGACAGCCCTCCTCTCGGTTGGAGGGAACAAGATTGATTCAATTGGAAGGGTCGAAATGGAAACCCTTGGCGGCATCCACAAGGTCTTGTAAACCCTCTGGAGGCCCCCATGAAAAAACGGTTTACCAACTCTTGATGCCTTCCTGATGGTCTCTGAGCGGGTTTTAAAGGTGTTGCTCAAAACTTGAACCAAAGAGTTGGTGTTCCATTGTTTGTGAAATGCTCTGAAGCCAATGACGTCATCATCGGGTTTATCTTTTTTAGATGCTTGATGTTGATCAACTCTCTGCGATTTACTGATAATCGAGCAGAAGCATCACCAGTAAGGAGCATTGCATGCTTTACACAGGTGAGGAAATTTAGGACACTTTTTCACCCTCTGTTGATTCCAGGTCAATATCAAGTAAATTACTCTCATTTGAAGCGTCAAAATGTGCACGCTTTGATACATTATTCACTGTCTCTGAATTTCGTTTGTTTGTACAGCCTGTCAGGTCATCAGACACTACAGCACTTGCTATATTTTGCATTTGCACAACTGTTAGATCAACTGACACTACGGGTTGTATTCTTGTGCATTACCCATTTGATCATCAGGTACTCCGGGATCTTTGATGGTTGTTTGGGCAGAAAACCCAACAGTTTTTTTACAGGCTACTTCGCTCATGTGTTTAATTTGCAGCGCCATATTTTCCAAAATAGCTGCCGTAATGGATGAAATAAAGTCTCAATCGGCCACAATAGCCTGAGCGAGATGCTTAGAACTTGTTCAATAGTCAACAATAGTTTTTAAAAGATATTTCTTTAACAAAATTGTTATGATATAAACATGTATTACAATCACTTTTACATCAATCCCGTTCTTTGAAAACCTGACTTCGGCATCTATTATTTTAACCCACTCTCACCGTCCTTAACCCAGTAGGGAGCTTAAGCATGTCGAACGCGAATGCGACGACAACGGCTATCAATACAATGGGTCATTGAAAAGAAATGAATATTTAAAGACCCATGATGGGTTTTAGACGTCGTCTTCGTTCTGTTTACAACGGGAAAACGTTTTTTTTACGTCTTGCCTAGAACGGTTGCATTTCAGGCCCAGCGAGCCCTCCCTCGAATTAGGCTCTATAGAATTGTCCTTAAAGATAAATAAAATGTTTTTAACGCCTTATATCTCACTGAATTGGTACAATTAATAATATAAAACAACAACTTTGTCATAGCATTTATTTAAAGGAGAATTTCAGCCGCGTCCTCGTCGTGTTGCCGTCCTACATGCTTAAGGTCCCTAGTCTCTCGCCCTGCGCTGCACAGGTTCCTCAAGTCAAAAAATGTCTGTACTTAAATATCACCCATTTAACACCAATGAAAATTAAATATAGATCAACCTTACAGCAGCCTTGCTTTCCATTATCTTGCTTCAGTGTCGTGGTAAGAAAAGAGGGGACCAGATGGAATCGATTTCCTTTACCATCTTGTTTTTCTGACTGTCCGATGCATGTCCATCCAAGTGGACCCAAATGGGCAATTGGGTCCCCCTGCCGGTCCACGAATAGCCTGCGCACAGACGTAATGTACACATAAAATATGTCTGTGAATACTTTTAACTAATCATGTTCAGTGACGTCAGTGTTATTTTAATTTCCTATAACGAACTCCCATTGGCTATTATCATACAACCTTATAAAACTGTCTTTGATTGGATGACAATCAATGAAAACATGGCAGCTTACGGAGAAGAAATTTGGGATAAAGCTATTCAGAGTGTTTTAAACGTTTTTAATTTAAATTCATTGTATGAAGAACAAATTGATGCTTTGAAAAAGTTCTTTTCTATCCGAGATGTATTTGTGAACCTTCCCACTCCGTATGGCAAGTCTCTTATCTTCCAGTCCGTTCCAATAGTAGCTGATGTCTTGCTTCGAAGAAGTAAAGGGACCAGTATTGTTGTGGTTATTTCGCCGCTGAAATCTTTAATGGATGATCAAATTCGTTATCTCAACGACATGAATGTTCCTGCGATCAGTTTAACTACAGAGCATGACGATAAAGTAGTCACCGATATAATTGATGGCAGATATACCCATGTTTACGGTTCACCCGAGTGCTTCCTCTCAACAACATGGAGAGGGTTGTTCGCAAGTAAGAAGTTCAGGTCTTCTTTGGTGTGTGTGGCTGTAGATGAAGCGCACTGCATTAGTCAGTGGTATGTAATATTAACACCAATTTTTCCAGTGGCGAAGCCAGCCCGACTATTTTAGTCCGGCTATGCTAATTCTTTAACACATTCAAATCTTTAGGAATCATTTGTTATTGAAATGTGTATATCATTATAAATTAACAAAGCAGGGATAAATAGTAAGGCTGCCTTCGCCACTGCATTTTTCATTTCTTATTTTTGTGCAGGTTTCTTATTGTATTATTTGTTTTTTCTCAAGGGGAATTCCTGGTGGGAATATGTGTGATCTGCCATTTCGAAATGGTATGGTAATCTTGGAGAGTTAAGATCGCTTATCCCAGATGATGTGAAATTAATTGTGGCCACTGCATCAGCCAGCAAAGCAACTAAAAAGCATAATTTACAACTGTTTGAAGTTAAGTAGTGGTACATTGGTGGTGGCCAAGTCTCCAGATCGAGCAAACTTGAAGTATTACATGCAATACATGGATAAAGATATTCCATTAGGAACAATTTTTTCTGAAGTCATTGAGAACGTCAAAAGTGAACAAGAATCTGCTGAGCGAACAGTTATTTATTGCCAAACACGTAAGCAATGTGGAATTTTGTATAAGTTAGAGTGTTTGAGACAAACCTGCAACAATCCTTCTACAAGGATGCTTTGCCAAATTGCAAAAATCGACTAGTGGAGATGTATCATGCTGGAACACCCAAGACAGTCAAAAAGCATATTTCAAAGAACATGTCTGATGGCAAAGGTCATATAAGAGTTCTTATAGCTACTATAGCATTTGGGATGGGCATTGATTGTAAGCAAGTCAAGAGAATAATTCACTTTGGTCCATCAAAAAACATTGAAAGTTACATTCAGGAGAGTGGACGTGCTGGAAGAGATGGAACTCATAGTGAGTGTATCGTTCTTTTTAATGCTCTTTTATCATGCCATTGCACCCAAGATATGAAGGAACTTCTTCACACAGAAACAGACTGCAGAAGGGTGTTGATGATGAAATCATTTGGATATTCAGTTGATACCCAAATAACAGGTAAGCATTCATGCTGTGACAAATGTGCTGAACAGTGTAATTGTGGTGAAGAAGATTGTAAAAAGTCAGGTATCCAGATACCTGAAACAAAAACTGACCCCAATGATTCCTGTCAGCAAACAAGACTAGTGAATCAAGAGCAAAAAGATTGTTTGAAAGTGAAACTTAAATCCTTCCAAGATGAATTGATACAGGAACATATGGAAAAGGTATATAATGCAGTAGAATCAGATGAAGTATCATTGAATAATAGTAGTTTTTACGAAAACTTAGCAATTAATTAGTAAATATAGATATTTCATTAATTGACTAATTAACCAATACTGTGAAACAAGCTTCAAAGGACACATAGCACCATTTTCTATGATGACATTTCAAAGATTTTAGATTTTAGTAGTAACAATTGTATTAAGCCTTGTGTCATGGTTTCTTCATACATTTATCGGGCACGCCTCTGCAACACAATCTGTTCCTTGTGTTGATTTATCCACTTAAACATTTTTTGCAGATCAAATCCTGATAGCATACTAGACTTGACACCACCGTAATAGTTATATGATCGCCCAGGCATTTTGACTAGTGCTTGTTGTTGCAAACATTCACCCACAATTTTTTCTAAATCGTTTTTGTGAGATGGTGCCACATGCTTTCCAGACCTTTTGTATAACTTGACAGCTGCATCAAAATTTCCCATCAGATTTCTTGTTACTGTCATACTACCACAAATTCTATCAATAGAACGCTTGCTTGCATTTGGTCCAAGTTTTTTAATTGCTTCTTTGACAACTTGGTTTATAAATTCCAGGTTTAGGTCAAGAGGAATATTGCTGCCACCTCTCTTTGTTTTCACAGATCTATTCCAAGTTGGTGGGCTGAACGTGGGCATAAAATGGCATAGATTTGAAACATCATGTAGAGTATTTCAAGGGAGTATTTTGAGCTAGCTTGGTCATGTTTGAAATACAACAGGAGGAACTTCCAACATCTTACCACTCTCAATCCATCTCCTGAGATTGAAAATATGAAGGCATATTTTTAATGGTTTACTTGGTTTGACAGACTCTTAACATATGTTTGTTAAAATGTATTTGTACGGGTACCTACCTTCACAAATAGCATCTTGCAAATTTGCAACCAGCATCCCATATTCCATCAGTGCCCTCTGATAGTTTAACATGTCATCTGATTCTCCAGGCTTGTCTTCAAAATAGATCTCAGACTGCACTTGATGCTTTACCACAACAGGTGGATAATGGCGTGACTCGTGGTTTAGCCTGGCTTGGCCATCATGAGCAAAGCTGGACTTGCATCCAGGATGTCGACACTTGAAACCTCCATCACTTGTCACATCTGTTCTTGGTTGCGATAATTTGGTTGTGATAATCAATGTTGTCAATAGTAATCTTTTGACTGCTACGTTCAGTGTGTTCACAAAGCTGCTTACTGCTGGCTGTAGCTTTCAATCCATCGGATTCATTGGATTCACTTTCAGCTGAAGAGTCATCACTGGATGTTGACTCTTCAGACTCAGCATCTTTTTCATGTGATACATTTGGGGTGGACTGTTGTGAGTTGAGCCAATCACATTCATCTTTCTTAACATCTAACACTGATTTGTTGTAATCATGACCATATTCTTCTAACTTTTTGTATAAGTGAGTGTGTGACACAACCATACTTTAATCTTTGCATCAATGGCTAGTAAATAGATGATACAAATTAAAATTTAATTACTTTGTAAGGGTTTCAGATGAAACGTTATAACTTAGGGATATATGATCAATGGGTATTCAGGAATTGCATCCTCAAAAATGAGTTGATTCGAACTGAGAATCACAATGAATGCATATATAGGACATACTGACCAGCTTGAATGATAGAAGAATATACTCAGCAATAGTTTAACTGCATTTAGCTGTGCAGACTTGTTCCTCATCAAAATTGCTGCAGCCATACCAAGGGAAGGTACCCATTGAGCCCTTTTGTCATGATTTCTTCTATTGACACATGATGCATGTAATATAGCTTTGGTAAATGGTGCTCTTTGCTCTAGTTCTTTCTCAAGCTTTTCAAATGAGAATACAAGAAGCTGATCTTTACTGGGTGATCTTAAACAGCTAGGGTTCTTCTTTGAACATAAGCCATGACACTCATTGTCGACACATTTCACTGCCAGGATCTGCAGATGCTTGCGAAGTATAGGGTTATTCCAAGCAGCGTTTGCAATCTGCTTATAAGTACCACGTACTAACATTTTACCAAGTGACTGGAGATCTTCAGGTAAGCTCCGTTCTCCGTTTCGACTGGCCCATTGCACCCTTACTGTAACAGCAGTGCTTGTATTTGGAGTTTTAGCATGGACTGTTGGGAAAGATTTCTTAGGCATAGATTGATCAATTGGTTGGGCCAGGGGAGAAGCTAAGGTTGGTAGCAAAACTGTTGACGAACAGACACCTTTTCCAGACACTGGGGATAACGACACGATATTGGGGGCTTCTATACGTGGTCGTTTTGCGACATCGGGATGAAGCAGTTCAACATCTTCGGTTCGTTCTAGGCATTGCGATTTCCCCAAACCTTTTGCACTCACCGGAATTATGAATGTTTTTCAAAGTTTCTAAATTGTCTTGAACTTGCCTTTTAAGATTTTCCAGTTTTTTTAGTTTATCCACGCAAGGTCTACATATGTACGGAGATGAACCAATTTCAACTTCAAATGGCAATTTTTCCAGTGAAGATCGCACATTAAACTTAGCCTTTCCATCTACAACCAAGCGGTTGTTTGCTTTTTCAATTACATTATGACAAAATATGCAGACCATCTTATGAATAACATTAATAATGTATGATCTTACTTAACCATACATTTACACGAATCGCTTTGAACTTCATGAGTACTAGCGCGCTGGAGTTACGTCCGCCATTTTGTAAATGTTCGCGCATAATTAACATACTTACTCTAATTATTCCGCACAAGCAATTGGTCAAGTATTCACAGACGTATTTTACGTGTACATTACGTCTGTGCGCAGGCTAGTCCAAGAACATCCTCCAATATTCCTCTAATTTTGTCTTATCCCATTAAATGTTGGTACTTAAAGCTGCTTCAATCGATGGTTAAGCACTATTTCCTGTGTTCCCCCCTGTGCACCATATAATGCTGTTTGTTGTTGACTAGGGCTAGCGATTTGTTCTTCGACAGTTTGTACCGAGGGGTTGCTTACCAAACCTGGGTAGCTAGTGTCTTGTACTTGCAATGTTTCACTGATATCAGTTACAACAGGATCATTCTGATCTCCAGTCATGTCTACTGTGTGTTCAGCTGCTGAATTAGGGTTTTGTGGACCATCTACTACTTGCTCTACACTTGTAACTGTTGTGTTGTTAACGCTTTGGCCAACTTCATGGTTCTCTGCAGCACTAGTTGCAGCAATTCATCAGATTCTTTCAGTAAAGCCTGCTGACTGTTAAAATCCTTTTGTGCAAAGTAACATGCAAATAACTCATCCATAACACCCTGAGCATCTTCTAATGAAGCCCATAACTGTTCGACACGATGTTCAATATCTTCCTTGTCAACCGAGGGTGCGCGAGTAATTTTTCTAGATGATGTCTGATCTTTGTTGCCGTACGTTTACTTACCCGTTTTCGACGACTAAGTTCAAAAATTACTTTAACTTGACTCATCTTCAACTTTTGGTACTTCTAAACTACTGGCATTATCAGTTTCTGTAACCTATCCGACATACTGCTATCCTATTAAAATTTCTAAAGCAAACCCCGATTAAACAATCTCTGTTCAAAATCCCGATCCAACTTCCGGTCAAAGCACCGTCCAACTTCCGGTCAAAAACATGTTGCCCAAATTGCAAATTCCGACTTGACAAAACACGGTCGAAATTCCTTTATTATTTTAGCTAAAAAACACTGTCTCCGAATTCTGATAACCCACCATCTGATCTCCAATAATCACTGTTCAAAATTCCGTTAAAAAAACAACAAAAAACACTGTCCAAATTCCGACTCTAAACCGCCCAATATTCGAAAAACACTCCAAATCCACTCACGTCCTGGCAGGATCGCCAATAAATGTTCGATAGTCAACGATAGTTTTTAAAAGATCTTTCTTGAACAAAATTGTTATGATATAAATATGCATTACAATCACTTTTACATTAATCCCGGTCTTCGAAAACCTGACTTCCGCATCTATTATTTTAACCCACTCTCACAGGTCCCCCAAGTAAAAAAATGTCTGTACTTAAATATCACCGATTTAACACCAATGAAAATTAAATATAAAATATCTAATAGTCAAATATGAAGTCTTCTCAACAGAACTCATTTGCATACCTTCTTCTTGTTCTTTACGGTTGGATGGATCTGCATTCACATCAGAAATCGTTGCAAAATTTTCTTGTTCTGTCATCTTGTAGGAGTGAAGCAAAAAGACCTGGAGGGAACATAGGCCATATAAGTACCAGAACTTTATGTTATAGTTATTTGCTTCACTGTATTTAATTTAAAAGGAGTGGAAATAAAGACAATTTTTAAATTGAAGTCGAGTATCTCAAAGTATAATTGAACAATTCTACCAGAGTTTTAGTGTATATTTTGTATTTTAGTTAGTATTTTTAATTTATAGTAGACTTGGACTTTTTTTTTATTGTAGTAGTATTAGTATATATTTATAATTTATGGTAGACAAATGTAAATGTTACTCACCAATTTGGCTTTGTTAGTCAAGACATGGTCTAGAATGCTCAATGTATCATTGTGCTTTTCTTAAATGAACTCTTAACATTCTTATGCAATTAATGACTTTTCATGATATAGTTCTCAATACATTGTTTCATTGTTGAACTTCATCATCTGCCTCCAATGACAAAACTAGCTTATTAATTTATCTTTCTATAACACTCGACTTGGTCTTAATTACAACTCGTCGTACAAATCCCTTTCAATGTTGAATAGCATGTAAAACTCTTCCTAACAGCCAAACATTTTTTGGAGATGAATGATCTGCCAGTTGAACAATGTCGCTGTTGATCCGATGTAGGAATTGTGGGACGTTGAACCGATGTTGAGATTCAAGAAAGGCATTGATTTAGATTCGACGAGAAGCACAATCTGCAGGGTTTGATCTACTATGTGATTCCACTGTTAAGGTTAAAATCTATCTCTGATGATTTCAACACAATTTGCAACGAATGTGTGAAAACGTCTGTTTTCATTCTCTACGTAGCGAATTACGGAAGTGCTGTACGTCCAAAACATAGTTTTCTCAATCAAGAGATCCAACTTTTTTTCTAACATTAACTCAACACGAACTGAGATTGTTGCAGTGGAAAGTTCTAAGCGCGGAATTGTTATTGGCTTTAGCGGCATCAAGCAAGATTTTCCAATTAGAAAGGCACAGTGAATTCTGTTATCATAGCTCAGCAGACGTAAATAAGACACCGATCCATATCCTTTCTCTGAGGCGTCAGAAAAATGATGTAACTAGGCCGATTTGACTGAACACTCTGGTGGTTTGTAGCATCAATTTACAGCGAATTTTGACAACTTATACGTAGACGTACACGTAGACGTACACGTAGACGTACACGTAGACGCACATGCACACGTACACATATATATATATATATATATATATATATATATATATATATATATATATATATATATATATATATATATATATATATATATATATATATATATATATATATATATATATATATATATATATATATATATATATATATTCCATTTGTTTTCAATCAATGTTCTTCCATATAACAAAACACAACAAAGTATGTTAAAAAATATACTACCTAAGCATGAATTAAGTAACATCTAAAGGTATATCTATGCATGTAATGTCAGTTCATTGCAATTTGCAAAAATGCACGATTCATTGTTGCTTTGATAGTTTCAGCATCTCGCAGTATCTGTTGCATTTATGACATTGGAAGAATGCTTTAATTGCTGCATCTGACAAATTACCAGAGCAGAAACGAATTGCCTTGTCTTCAGGGTCCTCCAGCTCAGCCATTGCAATCTCTGGGTCACATAGGGAGAAATTGACCCCTTGAATGTCAGTGACAATAAGCTGTTGGTTAGACTTCTGAAATGTATAGTGAACAAATGTCTCAGCTTTAAGACTTAGTTCATTTGCATCTGCATATTCCACACACAACTCACCAGTATTGTTTATAAACTTTTCAAAAACACCCGCGAGGTGAGTTTCTAATGTTACAGGTTCACCATTCAGAGACGAATAGTAGACTTTACCATAAACAAATGTTTCTCCAAATTCTGAAGCTTGGACCTCAGAAGCCATACTCTGAGCGAAATTACGAGCTAGGGCGTTGAGTTGAACTGACTTTCGTGTATGGAGTTCAACGGACCCAAATAATGCTTTAATGGCTTTTTTTTCTTCCTCTAAATACTTTTTAATGACATACTTTCCTTTGGGCAAACCTGCAATGGATTTTGCCAAATATGCTGCACGGAATGCCCCATTCGCAAACGGTTTCTTTTCCATTGAAAGTGATACCTCAAAAGGTTCCAGCCACTCCATTCTCAAGATGCAAAACTCTTCAAGCCGAAGAGTTACCACATCGATATCTGGGACAATGACTTTTCCCAACTTCAGCATCTGACTTAGTGACACTGAACGCACGACAGATGGCGATGGTCGGACACTGACAGATTTCGAGTGTGGATACTGAGAATGGCTTTTTTGAGGGCTTCCGGTTGCAGGTTCGCTGTGGAAACTTGGCTTTTTGTTTGCGATGTTTCTTCCCGATTTTTCGTTCATGGGGTGTTCGAGAACTTCCACGAAGCGCATGTGCAAAACTTTCCAGTTCTGGATTTGTCCCGACTCGGTATAGGAAGGACCACGTTTACCGGCAAGAACATCACATTCTAATTCTGTGTTGAAGTGGGCCTTACATGCAGCTTTGATGTTTTCCAGTGTAAGTTCTTTGTCACAGGGAACTAAAGTCAAAGGCCCGATGCGCGAATACTTTTGACATTTGCCCTCCACGTTCGCCGACAAACGCTGAACAGTCAGCCCACCTTTTGGGCCAGTTGCTGCTTTTTCTTCGCCTTTACGCATTCTCTTCTTTGCTACCTTCTCTTTGTAGTTATCCCAAGCAGGTTTTCTCTTCAACATAACTACTTTAAATACTTTAAAAGGTACGGTGAACTTTATATGCAAATTTTGACAAAATCTTAATCTGTTCGATCTGAGCACAAAGCATGCAGTGTTTCCACTTCGTCAAACGAATTTTTTACCCATCTCGAAAGGCTTCATGGTCTATGGCGTCCCTGGGCCACGAAGTTGCTATGGCGTCAATGGGCCATAGAGATGATATTTTTTAAATATAGGCATGCATATTGCTATGGCGTGAATGGGCCATGGCCATTTTTTTTTTAAATTAAATGTAATTAAGGTAAAATGAAAATAAAAACATGTAATAAAAGAAAACAAAAATTACAAAGTAATAGAAAAAAAAGAAAAGAGAATTATTAAAAAAATTTAAAAATATAAAAAAAATTAAAAAAAAATAGATAATTTTTTAAAAATAGTTTAAAATTAGTTCAAACAAATATATTTATTTGTATCAATTCAGAAAAAGTACTGTGGCGTTAATGGGCCACCATAGTGTTGCTACTCTTGCTTCCTTTTGGACAAAGTCAACCACATTGTTGATCACTGACCTCCATCCGCTTCAGTTATCTTGTCAACTTCTTGATGCCAACGAGCTCTCCCAAATGGTAATTTCTGCACAATTTGCTGCATGCTCTTTCGAATTTATTCAGATTTGCATTGTTAGTGGCCTCATTCTCACAGCACAAGAAAAATAGAAAGCTTGTGCAATGCGGTTTTGTCCTCAGATTTCAAGGCTGGCTACTTTAACTTTTCCATGTATGCAGCAGCAATTAGATACTCGTTTCCATAATTCTTCTTAAGTAACCAACAAGCTTCTACATATCTTGTAGCATTATCTAGTTTAATAAATTATGCATGCATATGGGTTATCTAACACTACTGTATATAAAGCTGTATATAGATCTTTCACTACACTGTTTTATAATAAATGCCTAACACTACATTGTGGCAGCGGGTTTACACTATTAAAGCAATAGCGTATAAGCTGCCGGTTTCTTTTGACTTTTCAAAAGGAGATACGTGGCCAAATTGGCCTTGTTTAAATTGACTGCAACATTGTCAGTATGGAGATTGCCTTACCAAATGGTCTGTGACCGCATTGTTGTAGGCTTGACAGATGCAAATGTCTCTCAAAGACTTCAACTTGATCCTGATATTACATTAAAGAAAGCACAAGATACAGTTTGAGAAACTGACACATTAAAGAAGCAGCAAAATGAATTAAAAAGCACCACGGATGCCAGGTAATAGATTCTATTCGTTCTGGAAAGAAAAATAAATCACAGCGAGGACAGCACAGTATAACAATGGGTAAAGCAAGCCAGAAAGAGACTTATAATAACAAAAATTGCTTTCGATGTGGAAAAAGCCCATCATCCCATAGTAAAGAAAAATGTCCTCCGAGGAATTCCGTGTGCAAAAGTGTTCAAAAATTGGACATTGGGCTAAAGTTTGTCAAACTAAAATTGTTGGAGACATTTTCGAACAAGACAGATACTGATGCAAATTTTAAATTTTTGGGGAAGTAAAATCACAAGGCAATACTCGGTGGAAAGCTAATCTCAAAATGGATGGACAAAAGATTGTATTCAAAATGGACACTGGAGCTGATGAAACTTGCATTCCGTATTACACCTGTGAAAGCATAAAGAGTAAGCTTCCTGAAAAAAACTAGATTCGTGTGATGGAAAGAAATCAAATATGTGGAAAATTTACTGCGACCATTTAAGCTGACAAAAAACATAACAGTACAAGATGAACAGTAGTGTGCAAAAGTCTTAGGCCCCCTGGACAAACTCTTGTTAAATGTTTTCCGAAATGAGCATGTGCCAAACACAATCCCACAATTGCCTGAACCGATTTCTTGCTTTATAAGCGAGTACACAGGTACAATTATATGTCATCAAGCTGGGTATCATGGCCAAGCTAACACAATTTGACAGACATGAAATTGTCATTTCACATCAGCAAGGGAAGTCACAACGTGCCATAGCTCGTCTAACTGGATTTTCAAGGTTTGGTGTCCAAGCACTCCTCAAGAAGTTTGAAGAGTTCGGAGAAGTAAAAGACAGAAAACGAAGTGGAAGACCAAAGAAACTGAATGCATTGGATAAAAAGTACCTGAAAGTAACGTCGTTGAGAGACAGGAGAAAGTCAAGTAAAGTTTTGGCACACGAGTTGGCAAAGTCTTGTGGAACAACAGTACACTCTTCAACTATAAGAAGGAGTCTCTGAAAAAGCAGTCTCCTCGGACGCGTCGCAGCTAAGAAACCATTATTGCGTAAGGGGTAACAAGCAGAAAAGGTTAAAATTTGCAAAAAGTCACAAGACATGGGGCAGTGTACAATGGAAGAAAGTACTATGGAGTGATGAATCTCAATTCCAGGTTTTTGGTTCAAACAGACGCCATTATGTTCGGAGAAGAGTTGGAGAGAAATATATTGATGCATGCTTACAGCCTACTGTGAAGCATGGTGGTGGTTCGGTGATGGTATGGGGTTGCATTTCAGCCAATGGTGTGGGAGATCTGGTAAAAATTGATGGAATTATGAAAGCACCAAAATATAAACAAATTCTGATTCATCATGCCATACCATCAGGGAAAAGGTTGGAAATAATTTTATTTTCCAACACGACAATGACCCGAAACACTCAGCAAACACGATAAAGTCTTATTTACAGCGGAAATCTGCGACCAGTACCCTTACACTACTAGATTGGCCACCACAAAGTCCCGATCTCAACATAATTGAGGTTGTCTGGGATTACTTGGATAGGGAGAAAAACAAGAAACAGCCCACATCAACAAACCAACTATGGCAAGTTCTGAAAGAAGCATGGAATAATTTACCACAAGATTTTTTGCAAAACTTGCAGGACAGTTTGCCAAATGTACAGTACCAAATGCAGAAATATTGAGATAGTTCATATAATTTATTTGTCATGCATGGAAAATTGTTGTTTGTGTGTTTTGTCTAACTAATAAACCATTTCACTGGTAACTTTAATTGGTACATGTTGTAAACTTATTTATTTCAGTTTATTAAAAGGGTGGCCTAAGATTTTTGCACACTACTGTGTATGTATTAAGGGCTTACACAAGGCTCTTTTGATAGGACCAGCAATATGTGCACTGACTTTACTCAAGAAAACTTAGGTTGTTGAGACAGTCAAAAGCAATGAAGAAGAAAAATTGGATAGAACGTGTAAAAGTGAGTCTCCAAGGCTTTTCAAAGGGCTTAATAGAATCAAGAATGAATACACAATCAAGTTAAAACCAGATGCCCAACCTCGTGCTGTATTCACACCACGAAAAATAGCACATCCTCGGTTACCAAAAGTAAAAGGTGAATAGGATGGAAAGAATTGACATATGCATATGCATATGCATAGACATACGCACATACACATACACATACACATACATTAAAAGCGTTGACAGTAAATATATTAAAAGCGTTGACAGTAAATAACCACTTTCTTTGTTGACTTGAAACTCTGTATTGCAACATTTAAGTTCTTCATTCGGCAGTTCAAATTTATCGTTTTGAAAATGGTCCGAAAGTCTACACGCACACTTAAGCAGCAAATGGCCATGCGGTACTTGCAGTCTGCAATGACAATTCGATCTTTTGCGAAGGATGCCGAATGTGGTACCATTCTCATTGTGAGAACCTGTTTATGAGAGATTTAAAAATTTTACAAGACGTAACCAAAGATTACCTGTGTTCGTCTTGTATGCGTGTTGGCGATGTCTTTGATTTCCAAAACACGCTCCAAAGGCTGACAAGTGCGACACATGTTGGGAGGCTAGAAAGTGCTGCTAAAGTTGAATGTATTTTGTTGCATAACATCTCATCAATTCAGACAAGGACCGTCGTCGACCACCACACAGATTTCCCTCTTATCGAAGGCCAAGAAATGGTATATTGATGGAACTTTCAAGCTGTGTCGGCATCCCTTCAAACAGTTGTTTACCATCAATGCATTTGTGCGTGATGGTGAAAACGTCAAACAACTGCCGCTCTGTTTTGTTTTCATGTCTGGCCAAAGTTCATCTGGCTACCAAAAGATTCTACAAGAGCTGCTGCATACAATGCCCAACTGGCCTATAGTGCTGCACATCACACTTTATTTTGAAACGGCTATTTGGAAAGCATGGAGGGCTATCCTACCAGGTGTCCAATTGAGTGGTTGTGTCTTTCATTGGACACAGGCGCTTTGGAGGAAAGTACAGGGGCTAGGATTGCAATCAGCATATAGTAACGACCAAGCAATAAGCAGTTATATTCGTTGGCTTATGGCATTACCATACTTACCTCAGGAAACAATTCCCCAAATGTTCAAACGCCTTAAAGTTGAAGCCACTACTGTCCCCCTGCAGAGTTTCATGCATTATACCGCTGACACTTGGATTTATAGCAGCGTCTGGCTGCCAAAAAACTGGAGTATCTTCATGCAAACTACCAGAACAAATAACAACGTTGAAAGTTGGCACCATCGCTTGAACCAGAAGTGTGTTGGTCGTTGTGGAATACAGTTCTACATGCTAATTGACCTACTTCATAAGGAAGCCTCACTTGAAGAACTTAACATTCAGTTAGTTTCTGAAGGAAAAGTGAGGCGGATCCAGCGGAAGAAATACAGACAGCTTCAAGGGCAGGTTTTTAGTGCAAAGTTTGAGAAACTTTGCAGTATTGTGATGAGTGGCGAAAATTCAAACGAGTCAGTAAGTCAGACAGTCAGTCAGTCAGTAAGTCAGACAGTCAGTCAGTCAGTCAGACAGTCAGTCAGTCATAGTGTAAACTTTACGGGGGGTAGGTTGATTTATGCGTATAGTACCTTTTTGAGTATGATCAGTAATTTAAAGTTTTTAAATCAGCGTAAATTGCTTTATTTATTAATGCACTATACCCCTTTTGCAAAGTTCACCAAAATATTGAGGAATTTTGGCGGTTACTGTAAATTTTGAAGCATTGCTTTTCCGCGGTTTGAGTTTTGTTTTAAAGGGATTTGCACAGAATTACCCCCCGGAACACCCGATTCTTTTCTTGCATGTCGCAACTGCGCATGTGCCCTCGAGACTTGAAGTCTTGAACATTATTCACGATGTAAAGAAACAAGGAGCGACGAGCATTGCTTCAAAACATTCCGGGCGTAAAAATCGAGCAATTCTGTGAGAATCTACGCAATTTATCAACTTATGTTATGAATTACGAGCATTCAATTCAACACAAATATAATTTAAAAGGTTTATTCCATAAATAGAGCTAAGAGGTTAGGAAGAAACGACGCCGTGTTGTTTATGTATCAAAGTATCCACATCATAGACATAATATGCACCGCGGTTTATTTACATTATTTACAACGCAACTATTTTGGCTATTCTTATGAAGTGACGGATAAATTGTAGCAATCATATAAATGTAGTGAATGTAGTCACAGTTGTTTGACGAAGAAAAGAGACTAAACTGAGAAAATCACGCCCGGTTAGATTTACATGGGCAACTAAAATTATAATTTATTAGTGACAGTATCCGCGGCTAACGTAACTTGAGTACTTTGAGTAATTTCCTTTTAATTAATGTTTAACCTAGTTCATTATATTTTTACTGGCATAAGTAAAAATTTTTATGTTGGGACAAACGTCTGGTTGCTTAGGTATTACAGGGCATGAAAACTTTGCACTATCCTTGGATCCCTAGTTAAATTATGGGACGAATTTAACAATGATTTTATATCTGCACAACAACTTGTGAAAGCATGTGCTTACCTTAATAAACCTTTAATGTAACCGGTGTACAAAGATCTTTGTGTTCAGTTGTATAAGTAAAAAATAAACGGACGGATCACGGATATATTTTTCGGACAAGAGTACGAAACGACTACAAACTGCACAAAATTATCCACCTTACAACTGGTGCCAGCTAGCACCAACTGTATCACATTGAGTTCAAGCATTCCTACATTAATTAAGAAAGGCTGCTAGGTTAATGGTTTGTTAGAGGGGGAGGGGGGGTTCTTGTAGTTTAACAATTTGAAAACGTTAAACTGTAATTAAAAATTGGTACCAAAAATTAAAACTTCAGTGTATTTCCTTTCCTGTAGGTTGCATTTTCCCATTTCTACAGCCCAGCTGCTGCTGGCGATAAGTGCACATTGTACAGCAACAGAAATTTAATAAATTGTCGCAGTGTAAGGAGCGATGTCAATTCAGCAGTCAATCCTTGCAGACGTTTCTTTGTCTTAGAAATAGAGGCACATATTGTTGCCGCTGGAATGAAGGAGCTTCACATTGAAGAACTGGAAGAGCAGTCATTGTTTGTAGCAGACCAAATAGATAGGTGGACAAATGGAAGAAAGAATTCCTGAATGAGTTATCAGCAACAGTTGTTGACAAGTATGTTTTTAATAAAGGGAAGCACTAAAAGATCACTCTTGCAGCCAGTCAGCTTGAAGACAAGCAGCTTCAAAAGTTGAAGGAGAAAACACCAAACATTTATACCAGCCACAAAACATTTTCATCTGATGGGAAATGGTGATAGACTCATGAAAAGTCTCACAATCCCTCAGTTAACATAGAAGAGCAGCCGCTCCTGACTGAAATATACGAAGAAGTCACACCAGATGATATGTACAATTATCAGAAAGCCCTGCTTGAGTACGTCATGGCAATTCTTAATTTTTTCGATGCAATCTCTGAGGGAGACGGGGCTTGAGTCGTCAGAAATTGGAAATTTCTTTTGTTATATTTTCTTCATGATGGCCAAAGCAGCAACAAGTACACCCTGGAAGCGCTTTACATGATATTCCAAATATATGCACTTCTAAGTTCCAAAGATGCACATGATTTAGTTTGGAACAGATTTTCAAAAAGGAAACAAAGGCTAGGTGGTAACATCCCACTTGATCTTACCGTTGAGTTTTTGAACAGAATAATAAAGATGTTTGTCAAGAAACTTGGACCTAACGCTAGCACAAAGTCTATTAACAGAATCTGCCATGCCATGGGCGTAACAAAACAGCTAACTGAAAACTTTGACAGCTCAATGTCATTGTACAAGCACTCAGGTATCGTCAAGCAACTTGTGGCACAAGATGTTTTGACCAAAACACCTGGCAGAAGTTATAGCTTTTATTCTAATTTTAAGCCAACTTTATTGCATGATTTTGACCTACAAAAGTTTTACAACTGGATCAATGATCACAAAGGACATACGATCTTACATAGAAAGGCAAGATAGAGAATAACACTACTATTAAATGTTGTGGTACAGTCAGACAGTACTTATCAGAAATAATTCTTATACACAAATCACAATATGTGATTTTATCCTGAATTTTACCATGCATTCTATCATAATATTCTATGCCCATTTGAAACAAAAAATTGCATCAACCCAATGTGCCCCAGTGCACTCTACTTATTTTTTTACTTGTCTAACCCAAATGATTTTACTTGTCAATGCGGAAGCTCTGCAGCTTAATGGGTTATACCATTTTTGTTGCTTTTTTGTTGTACTCAAGCTCTTTTGCCAGGTTTAGGTCGGCATGCTCGACATTTATTTCTGACCAGGCTTTTATATACTGTAATTATGTTTATCACATTTAAAAAACTCTGTAGAACCTCATGGGCTTTAGTGTTGATTCTGGCTCTTAATTGATTTCAATGAACAAATGAAAACACATCACTCAGCAAAGTCTATCGTGCCTTGATAATATTGATAGACATATGTTAGAAACCCAATGCATATTTTCAACAATTACAATTTTGCAAATAATTAATTAGTATGTAAACTATTTGTCTTTGTATCTACTAAGAACAGTGATGATTCTAGGCCCAGCCTTCTACCCAGGTGCAAATACGGATTTTTAGAGTGGTCCAGGCACAATATACAGATCTAAAAATCCATATTTGCACCTGGGTAGAAGGTTGGCTCTAGGCCTATAACTATAAGTGTTTATTGATGTAATTAATGAAAGGATATTTTGTTTAAAGGTTTTTCAATCTTTAATTGTTACTGCAAATTCTTTAAAAAAGTTGGTATTATCCATAGCAGCATTAGATCCATTGAGGTTTCAGTGTCACAATATTCCCAATCTTGGCTGTCCATCATACTGTGAAAGCTAGGGTCATCTCTCACTTCTTCCCACTCCATTTCAAAATTAATTTCATCAAAATCTGTGTAAATATTATTGCAAACATCAGTATCACCAGAAACTTGAGCAATAGCAGTCAAAATACCAAATGCATGCTTCATTCTCCAGATCTCCACATTTTTTACCACATTTTCAAGTGTAAAAAGTTTGTGGCATGTCTGAAGAACTTGATTAATTTAAAACCCACCAAATTCTAAAAAGACATTTGGGACACCAACAGTTGAAGTCACGTTGCCACTTATCAATTTTTTTTATATGACATCAAAAGAGCTTTCAATTTACTCTTCTGATGACACAGATCTGGTAAATGCAAGTTCACATGAAGTAGCAGAGTCCACTTTCTCATTGTCACTCCAAATTTTTGCCACCTTGCATTCATTGCTTCCACACTTGCATTTTTCAGCACAGATATCACAGCATTCATGCAGAATGTCAAATTCATCACACTTAATATCAAGATCTACGAATATTGTCTTCCTTAAGCGAATGGGATTTTCCTTGGTGATGAATTTCTTCATTTGTGTGGTGCAATGGCTGGATAGGCAAACCATTGTATAGAATATGAGTACTTGGCTTGCCATCCCTTCCTGCACGCCCACTCTCTTGCACATAGCTTTCCAAGTTCTTTGATGGTCCGAAGTGTATCACTTTCTGAATGCGTTCTACAAAAATGCATACTATCAAAATGCATTCAGTTGTTGACTGTGTGGCAGTAGCTGTCAGAATGAGGAAATTCACATTTGATGGAACTAGGGACAACAATTCACTAAGGTTCCCATACCATTTTCTAAATGGAATGCTTCCCTTTTTTTGCCCATCTGATGACATTCCCTTATGTAGTTGAAAAAAAAACACTTTAAAATATTTGCTAAAAATATTAACAAGATTACACTGATTAGGCTTTGGCTGCAGAGCTTTTCCATGGCTGTCACTGACAAGCAAAATTATCTGGCAGCACACAAGAAAAAAAAAAGGAACACTGGGACACATTGAGGCTCAATGGGTTAAATGGAAACATTTTCATATTTTTTGGTTAACTCATTAGGCCACACAGCTTCCCTGTTGACAAGTAAGATCCTCTGGCATTATACCAGTAAAAAAGTGTGATACTCACTGATACAGGGTACTTACCAATGGCTGATACAATGAGCTTCGTCAATAGCAACCCCGACTAAATTTTCCAAAAATACTTTTGAAGAAAATACACCTCTCCATGTGGATGTTGCCAGCAGACAATCTGGGGAGGTGTAAACGTGGGAATATTTCCCTTGAATGACATCTTCTGTTGCACGATCTTTGGCTTCATCAGTGATACAAACAGCTGATATTTCCTATTTAGATAGGATAGATAACTATTTAGATAGGCTGATTGGTCCTCCATCAGGTTTCTAAGGGCAAAACGACGACGATTATGCTTGTACCTTGTGGTCGCAAATACAGCGAATCATGCATAATAGGCACCGCTTGATACACCAGGAATTTTCCAAAAAGCTGTGGGCAAGTTCACATAAACATGGTGTCCAAAAAAAACTTCTCCAAAGCCTCCTTTTGTTCAGGGTAAATTTTTTTAAAATTAAATGTCGAACAAACACTCTCAAGTGCATTATTCCAATTATCTATTGGAAAAAAGCTCTTGTGTACGGATGTCGCCATGTTGTTTATGTATAAATAAATCACAGTGTATATTATAGAAATTTTAAAATGAATTCTGCACTGTTATAAATTTAGAAAAATTTAAGCCAATTATTACGCGTCTAATATCAGTTCCACAGTTGAACCAACGAACATGCGTTACTATTTCCATGTAAGTTTTACGTCATGGAACACGATTAAGCCTGCAGTTTAGCAGACCCCCTTCTTTCCTCTGTAATTTTCAGGCAGGGTCTGCGAGCAGGCTAATGTAAATGTGCCTTTTTAGAATATTCTTGACATTCTGTGATGACAAAATCACCATATATGGACTCTGTCCAAACGTAATTTAACTTTATTGGTCTTTTTTTACTTGAAAGTGTTGGTTTAGCTCTTCTTAAAACTGACCATACATCATACATCACCCATGAGGCAGAATGATAAGAATACATGATAGCAAAACCATAAACACTTTCAAACAAATTAAAGATGAAATCATTTTCTTAAAACAAAACAATTAAAACAAAGTTGTTGTAAAATTTGTCTTTAGATCTGAATTCTTAGCACATAAATTTTGAATTATATTAATATCTTTCTGATGTGATTTCCTTTCATCATCAAAATCATTTTTATACTGTTCCAACTGACATCCTAATAACGCATATATATACCCACACATACCTTTGTTTCCATTGTTTTATCTCCTTTTGTTGTTTTTTTAGGAAAATGTTTTCATCTGTAATTTGTTTGAAAGCTTTTATGGTTTTGCTATCAATGTATCCTTATCATTCTGTCTTATGGGTGATGTATGATGTATGGTCACGTAAGAGCTAAACCAACACTTTCAAGTAAAAGGAGACCAATAAAGTAAAATAATATTTGAACTGAGTCCATATATGGTGATTTTGTTGTCACAAAATGTCAAGAATACTTTAAAAAGTCACATTTGCATTTAGATTATGAAATTTTTCTTCCTGTTAATGATTATGTTGCGTTTGTTTTTGGCATCGGAGAGAATACCCATGGTTGTTAAGAAGTTTAATATTTCTACCTCAGTTTTTATTATTCCCTATCAATGGAATGTATAGGGTGTTTTAATTTCGGATAATTATGATTTATCCAGCGTTTCCACAATTGAAGGAAATTTTCTTCAAAATGTGAACAATGAGGGAGGGAGGGTAAGTCTTAATAGGATATATTATGCATTCTTTTCAAACGTTTTTGTTTTTCTCTTTTTCATTACCATCTCCCCATGAGGACAGCCTTATGCAAATAAGTTGTGGAAATGCTGGATTTATCCCCAAGTTTTGTATTCCCTATCTCTTTGTGAGTGTCGAACAGTGTACATGATGGGGAAAACACAAAGGATATCATTTCCTATTTTGTTATCATTTCCTGATTGGATTGAATTATGGAATTATAGTTTTGGCATTTGATATACAGATTCAGGTTAGGTTTTTTTTCATATTTTTCACTGTTCTTGATGTATTTGTCTTTTTTATATTTTTACGTGTTAAAAAATTAATAATGTGTTTTAATTCTGTTATTAAGCGTGGAGTTAATATTAATTTAGTTTGAATATG